TCAAGGCAGCTACACGTTGGACGTGACTATAGCAACATTGAAATAGGGGGGCGGGGGTTTGACCTGGAACTTGTTTCAGGGGCGCAAAAACCCCTCAAATCTGGCTTCAGCGGTTAGGCCCTGCACGGTAGCTTGTTGGGATTTGCATGTGTGGTTTTAGCCTGCTCTGTACGTGGCGGGTAGCACTGCGGCCCAGCAAGTGTGCTGACAGGTTGTTCTGGTTGAGCCCGTGCAAGTCCTGGGTTCATTGGAAGGGGCGAAATCCGTCAGCTATGTATAAAGCGGGAGTGCTATCATACTGAGCACGATTTTTTCAGACATTGGTGGAGCAAGTGCTGATTTTCGAAGTTTTTATTATTGCCGTCATTATGCATCTAATATATGAACTGTCCACTTTTTGTGCCGTTGTCTGTAATCTTGTTGCTGCAATATGCACCTTACGAAGCAACCCCAAAAATTCAGCCGCGTGACGCAAATCCTTGCTCAGAGACAGCCATTGCACTTGATGGGAAATTCACAGCCCTACACGGTTCCAGTTGCCATTGTCCCGTTGCGACATGTTGATATTCGAGGTTTTCACTGCGTTTCGTCACGCAGTTTAGCTATGCAGCTGAGTGTGTACTGCCAATTCCCGTGCATGTTCCATCAGTAATGGGCGCAGTTGCGCCGTATGCCTGGCGCGATCCTCACACATTTTACCAGCATAAGAGACATCAGTTGCTGTCTTGATCAGGTAGCAAAACCTCAGTGGCCATCTTGAAAGGTCATCATGGCATTGGACCCCGGACGAACACGCAGGGACGTCCTCTTGGCAGACGCTTGAAACTTAAATCTTAGGACGTGTCGTTTATTCCTGTGAATGTGAAGCACGATGTGTTTTGGCAAATGTATTTCCAGGTGTTCCACGCTTTGGATTCAAAGCAGCGAGGCTTTGTCAGCAAGGCTGTTGTGCTGATTGCGGGATTGTTGAGCAAGTGGGAGCTTTGTCCCACAGCTGACTGAAGCAGCTAGTACCAATACCAGTGCTAATTTTGTGGGCGGCTGCAGAATGGGATGCGCAGGTCGAGCTCGCACACATATTGGATGCGATGCAGGCTGTTTTCCAGTGCTTTGCCTCTGAGTCGTACAGGGGTCAGCTCAGTTGCATTCAAGGGGTAAGCATTGCGTCCTAGCCACTTGCAATGCATGGATGCAGGCAGACACCAGAGGTCCTCTGCCAATCCCTGAGGCTATAGCTTGGCTGCTGTTACCAAGGATTGCTAAGACCGAAGATTCGGACTAGATGATGATGAGTGTCCATGACAGGCGTTGCTCCCACACAAGATATCACGTGATTGCAAAGTCAGTCCGTGAGAGGCTCAGGTTGAATCCCACTTCACATTGCATGTTCCGAGTGAAAGTCTTGACGAGGCAAGATATGACAAATTGGTTGCAGGCGTTCAGAGCCTAAGTGCCTCATATTCGTAGCTTTGATTCCTACACATGCTGACCTGTATGATTCTGTTTTGCAAGTTCTCTGTTAAGGTTGTCTGTGGCAGAGCTTGAAGATGTCAAGTGGTTTGCAGAAAGTGTGGTTCACCGCCCAAGCTTGCGGCACTGTTGCAACAGCGTTGTCTTGCAAGCCAATTGCCTTCCCGTAAGCACGTTTTGATAAGCCAGGTGAAAGTGGAGTCTGAGCTTCGAGAAGTTTGGCTGGACGCTGTCAAGTGCCCCGGCTGAAAGGAAAGGTACAAGAATGCAGGCTCGACTAGGATCACGCTACGCATGCGGAGGCGATGGCAGCAAGCCATTGTGCAATTGCAGTCTCGCAACCTCCACCGCTATGTGTCCCCCGGCGTTGTGGGAAGCGCGGGCATGCCGGTGGCATTCTTGCTTATACCGGGAAGTCATGAAAGTGTGAAGCACGATATCTGAGGCTCTCATCGCAGCCGAAGCGGGTGGCAGTCAGACATGTTATGGTTTTAACGAGTTGACGCAAGTTGCTGAGATTCATTTTGGCGAATGCCCCTTTGGAGCTGCTTTGCTTGCAGGTGGCGCGCTGGCTGCAGCTTCGGACAGACACAGCTGAGTCTCAGGGCTTGCCAGGCCCACTTTACTTGGATGATGTTTCCTGGTTTTTTTCTCTGCAACGTAGTTCTCATCTGCAGGTCTGGGCTTAAGCCAGCACGAGGTTGAAACTCTGTTTGCTGCGGGGTACCTGGCGTCGAACATGGAGCTTGTGAATTACTGTTTATGAACATGAAGATTGATTCGCTCTCAGAACGCTCAGGTGGCACCAGCCCTAAATCACCAGCAGTATGCTCAATGTAAAGTAAGCGTGCAGGGCCACGTAGCTCTTAGGCTTCAGATCATGTTCGACATGTTGCTGGGCTTTGCTTCCGCAATCCGTTCGTGGTTGCGTGACTCCTGGCATTTCAACCTGTGAATATGCTCGGCCAAGGACGAGACTGCTGACGACATCAATGAATGTCATGAAAAGCTGCAGCCGTCGCGTCCCAAGAAGGGAGTGATTGTTACTCTTAAGTCTTGACTTGCAGAAGGTTCCTGACAGCTGTGCAGCTCAGACAAGAGATAAGTCAGATGGCGTGTGGGCCCAAGACTTTGCGCCACCAGCTCCCATGTCCTAGAAGCCAAACAGCTTTGGGCCAAGGCTTAGCGCTGAGACAGCGACACGCGCAACAGCAGTGGCACCACTCAGTTTCTGCGCTGGGGTTGTGTGTCTGGACCTGATTCTCGGTGTTTTTGTTGGACAGCTCTTGGCCGATCTGGAGCAGCTGGCGGGATCGCGAGATCTGGTGCGCTGGTACTTTGCCATGATTGGCTGGAAGCAGCCTCAGCTCGCCAGGCTTGCCTCCTTATCCATGAGAACGTTCTTGGCACGCGCTTCAGCAGCTCAGTCGTCGTGGCAACGGGTATGCGCGGTGGCAGGGCAGATAGTTCTGGTGAGCAGGTCTGGCCACAACGATGGTTGGCGTAGAAGGCCTTCCCCAAGATGCTCAACACTAAGATTGTTCGACGAGCTCTGGAATGCCATCCACACATGTGCAATGGAGTTTTAACGTTTCATGCGACTTCGATGTGGCTAGTATGCAAGGTGACAGCGGGAGCATCGAAGCTCATCATGAAGATCCTAGGCCGGCCATGATTCCTTTCTTGGGAACTTGTAAAGCCTTGTTGTATGCTTTCCTGATGAACATGTCTCGTCTGAAACCTTCACGCCGAGCTGCATCCTGCGGATTGATGTGTGCCTGGCCCATTGGGAAGCTGAAGTTAGTTCTCAATGTCTTACACGTCAGCAATCCTCACTGGTTGCTTGAGCTTCTCTCTCTTGCTTTTGCTGTCTATGCCTCCAGACTGACGTTCACTCCCATGTTTCCCTGTCTCATGATCTACGTGCACGCGTGCTGCAGCGTCTCAATTGCGATTGCGTGTTTTGCTTCTGCGCCAAGGGCTGCCCAGTGTAAGCCTGTATGTGATCTGTCATCGGCAGTTGTGACAGCCGTGATGATGTAGCAGAACTGAACACTGACTGCTCATGCCAGCCTTCCAGCTGTAAATTACTGTATAGAACATGCATCAAGCAGGGCCTTGAGGCCTCGAAGGCTTGGGGCCGATCACTTGAAGGGCCAAAGGCATGCCAAAGCCCTCAGTCCAAACCTGACAGTGTTTGGAGCTGGAAGTGTTCAAGCTGAAGCTGGCCAGTTTTCTTCGATGTAGTTAGATACCGGATCACTTTATGAACTCATAGCTGAATGCAAGCTGTGTAGGCGAGTGAGAATGATGAGAATGGTGAGGATGCAAGCAGGAAACCCTGGTCCTCTAGCCTCTCAGTTACATCATGCTTGTCCAGTGCCCCTTCAATCAGAGGACGGGTAGTAGCAGCTGTTCTGTCAGTCAGCTCCCTAGAAGTACGCTGCTAGTACGCTGCTAGTACGCTGCTGGAGGCCATCGAATACATGAAGCCTGCATGGGAACTGAGGAACAGCGCGGCCCTTGGCCATTAAAAACCAGGTATACATTTTCATGGATTGCAATGAATGAAATTCCCTAATGCTTGTTGCGATTCGTTGGAGTAGCTGCATCCGCAACTCCGCTCTCCTCCCAGCGAAGAAGGTGAGATGGGTCATCTCACCCAAGCTTAGCTTTGCCATGGCCATGCAGCGGCAACTTCTCATGCCAGAGACACTCGATGCGCTCACTGCTTCGGAGGTGCGCATGCTGTGTTGCTGATGTCATGGTCAAAGTAGATGTGCAGTATGCTATTTGGTGCTAGGCATCTGCCCTTTGCACTGCCGCCTGCTGCAGTGTGTGGCCCTGGCGGACAGTGCATATCAGGCTGGATAAGCAATTAAGACCGGATGCATGCTTGTAAGCGTTGTATGGCAGGTGCTTGGCCCAATTGAAGACCCTGCCATTGCAGAGGGCGAAAGCCCCTGCCACCATGTCCCTGCGCCGACTGGAAGTGACTCAGTCTGAGGTGCCACCGCGAATCTTGTCAGCTTCTGTGATTCAATTGCTTAAGGCTTATGTGTGTCCCATACGTGTGTTCAGGCTTTTTGTGGTACGGCGTGGAGAAGTTTGCTGCAGCCGCTTCGCGCAGGTGGAGTGCACTTACAGGATGCCTGGTAGCAAAAGTGCATGTTTTGTTGCCTTTGATCAAGGGATACGATTTGCCAAGCTACCTGCATCGCCTGGCATGCTTCCGAAAGTCTTGACTGCTCCTTGTGCTGCAACCCCAGGAGTTGTGCCTCGGCCACCTGCTGATCGCAGGACGACTTCTTTCAGTATGCCTTCAGCATGCTGCGTAAGTCTAAGGCTTAATCTCAGATTCCAGGCTTCACCTGCCTTACGCTGCCTTTCTCAAGGAGATGGGACATTCTGGAGCTGTCTATGTCCAGTCGCCTCAAAGCTGCTCATGCTGCAGCTTCCGGACTTGATTGTCTGTAACCCAGGTGCCTCTCAAACACAATAGTCTGGCTCCAAAAGCAGATGTAAACATTCTATCTTACTTGCAGCGCATGTTCGGTATGTTTGCGCAAGGGGCTTTTGGCAGGTGGCAGCCCTTTAGCCTTTGCGGATGGCGCATCGGTGGCACTGCCTCTGCTGCGCGTTCTTCGCTTGCCACGTGCCATGCTGCTTGCCCTTACAAAAGGCTTGCTGTAGTGAAGTCATGCTTAGGAGCATTGATGCGCTTTCCATTATGCTGTTGTTCTATCCAATAAATGTTGTTAGAATCCATTTCGAGCCAAAGCATCTTCACAAATGGCATCTTTTCAAAGGACCGCTTCCCTTCTCGCCCCACATTAGCCGTCAACTCCCATTTGACCCCTTGGCTTTGGAAGGTCTGGGAAGTTTCAGATGAAGAAGCAATCAAACACACTGCGTGGCAAAGAAGCAAGAATGCATCAGAAGCGGAAATTATATTGTAAAGCAGGTGGAAGGAATACCTCAAATGGTTAGACACTCAAATTTGCGAGCTGATGGGCGAGTTTTGGCGAGTCGATGAAAATATCTACCGTGAGGCATTCAAGTATGGCTCTGAGCCGCAACAGATGTTAAACATTGCATGGAAGAAGCTGGTGAAAGTAGGGGCCAAAGACCAAAGATTTTGCAGTATGTTTTGTGTTCCTGGAAGTAACAATCTGACACCCCTTCCTGATCTTCACGCGGGCGAGCGCAGCAATAGCACCTTTAGTGCCATAGGAATGACAGCCTCCGCGCGAGGTCCGCCCCTCTAGTAAAGAGTTCTGTCCACTGTTCACATGATTAAGCGGAATGGGCTAGGGCAGTTAAGCTGGTAGAGCACATTCTCTGACAGGGCAGTTGTGCATGGCCTCGCAGGCTTGTGGAATGCTGCTCCAGAAGCTTGGTGGCTGAAGCAGTGTCATCACAGACAGCATGCTGGGAGGTGCATTTCCCAAAGTTTTGTTAGATGTGTCATTCATAGTTCCCGTGCACTTCTGAATAGTTTCTCATGTAGACAGGGAAGCGTCGCAGAGGCACTGGCCCGACAGTTCTGCCGCTTGCCAGACCTCCGCGAAGTCGACATTTCAGGAGCTTCTGTCATGCTGACACTGTGCTCCAGCCCTTGACACTTAAATGACTTCAAAGTACCCACAGCTCTACTTAGTCAGGAGCGTGGCGGCCCATCGATCCGGCTCAGATTCGGATACTACCAGATGACCAAGATGATGGCCCATCTGCTAGATCTGGATCGTCGCAGGCAGGCAAAACCTGAGCAAAGATGGTTGCTGCAATTCTTGGGGGCAGGCTTCTGCCAGAGTCTGATCCGAGCCCAGGATACGACGCAACAACATAACCCAGTCACGGAAAAACTGCCGGCGAACCAGCTCCGACTGGAACCACCACCGGCCAGAATGTACAAATTTGAGGCCGCAGACATTACATCATTACCCTGTCCAAACGCTGTTACGCAGATTGCATTGTTTTGAGTTCCTTGCCATTCGTTTTCATAACCGCATTCGCAAATGCAACAGGCATGGTCTGAGACTCACCTGCTCCACGCACTTGTGAGAACGCATCAACCCTAATCCGATGATTTTGGTAGGTTGGAAACCTCCTGCCGTGCGATGAGGATGTGCTGACACTGTTCGATTCTTGGCGTCAGCGCATGAGCAACTGGGCAAAGGAGCCAGAGAACAGCAACACTGGAGGAAACGGCCTGAGCTTCAGTCTCAACAGACGTGGACGCAGCCAAGTTCCCATTTAAGTTGGATGGGTCAAGCTTGCTTTCGTATACATGTTGTCCTTTGACAATGTTGTGTGACAATGCAAGGTAACCGGTTGCAGAGCGATTGATGCTGTAGTTTCAAATGTAAGTCCGAAACATCCAATGTGACACTTTTCATGCGTTCCACATGTTCTCAGAGGCGAAATCAACACCCTCTTCAACCCTGACGTGCATGTACTCCACGAAGACTGGTCCACACAGCTAAGGCCTTACAGCTTGCTGTTGTTTTCGTTGGGCGTAGTGCAAGAGAGTTTATCTGACAGGATGGCACACCAGCGCCTGCAGCCTGTGTGCAGTGGGTAAAAAGAACTTGCGAGGGGTTGCAGGTGCTGCACGTTTGTGTACGCTGTGCCACATCAGCGAGGTGTGGGTGTATGCTGCCTCAAGTGATGTGTAAGATTGCTTGAGGGAATGCAGACTAGAACTAGAAGTTGTATGCAGTTGAACCCAACAAGAAACAGCCATGACATGGTGATCTACCGCCTGGCAGTACCCAGAAAGGGACGCTGTGCTTTGGCTTTGGCATGCTCAGGTGCCAGCAGATCCTGCTGGCCTACCTCGAGGTGGGCTTTGACCTGGGAACTCTGGAGGCAAGGCTTGTGCGAGTAAAGCCGGCAGCAGTGGAACAAGCATAGGGGCTGCGGGATGCATGCAGGTACCACAGATACCTCCAGCATGCAAGCAAGCAGAGCAAGCAGACCAAGGCACGGCAGATTGGATGCAAGTTCATCAAGACAAGCGGGTCTGTCAAGGTCGATTGCAGGAGCAGACCATCTCGCACTGGGCAGCGGCCTTTGCTCACATTTCCTATTGGAATGGCACCAAAATCGGCAAGGGTTTTTGCAGATTCAAGGTGCGAAACCTGGTCACGCAGCAGTCAGATCTGGATAGAGGGGAGATGGTAGACAAGCTCATCAAGTGCTCTCGTGGTGGCTCTGCAATACACACGTCATTCAAGTTCAACAGTGAGAGTTTGCCGTGGAGTGTCACATGGCTCAAGCACATGAAGATGCCATTCATTATTTGCAAATGTGGAGGTATGATGAGCAACGTCTTTTGGTCAACTCAAGTGCTGGAGAGGCCCTTTCTCTGTCATTCCAAATGTTTTTTTGTTTTTGCACATATCTTCACACCGAAAACGAGGAGATTGCATTACGGCCGTTTCTCCTTCTTGCTCAATCTGGCTGCCAGGAACCAGCGCCTGTTCCAGACTCAATCTTCTCTTATGGCAGGAGCTTAGCTGTGTTCAGGCATGTTGCCATGTGAGATGGTGAGTGTCCAGGACAATTCCAACCATTCTTTCTCGGCTGGATTTGGCTTCGCATTACTCCTTGCACGAGCTAGGAGCTGAGCAGGGAAGCATGATGGGACTAAAGACAGGGTGCTCGCACACGAACGATCACCTTTGAATGTGGGCAGATGTTGAAGTGGACGTGTAGGGTTTGTCTGAGGCGGCGGACTCCTATCCGTACGCACTTGCTGAAGTTCCTGCTGAACATCCTGTCAAGGTGAATGCTACAACGATGATTTACTACCTTCCGAGGTGTGAGAGACATTATACAACGATTCCCTAGCTTGCAAGTGCTGAGGCATTGAGTCTTTGAAGCATTATCGTTGTCATGCAGTTCATTGTATTTATTTTGAAGATGTATGCTGCTGACAATGGCACTTCGGCTACGTCTCCAAGATGCTGTAGAGCATTGAGCATTCATGTAAGGAGAGCTGCAGCTCTCCGAGCTCACACCTATAGCTCAGTCACGCTTATCTCATACAATCATTCCAAAACGCAACAGTGACTCATGACTGGACATTTGCCAGCCCGAAAACACGCGCAGCCCTCGGGAAACTAACTCAAGCCAACTGACATTTGCAAATTTCTGCGCCGCAAGTCCTGTTACAGTAGCTAGCCTGATTCAAGAGACCAGCCGACCAAAGAACGCTAGAAACCAATTTCCACATGCCTCATGGCACTCAACCAAGAGTTCTGGTTGCAACAGAAGCGACGAGAGGCCAGGCCGTGATTCTTGGTAAGTTGCTTAGCCTGTAAGTTCTATTATGGTCTGTAATGTTCAGGCGGAGCGGCTTGCGCAAGGAAATGCTGCCAGGGTCCCAAGACACATCACGAGGCTCCAGCACATGACAAGTCCAGCACATGCCACGCCGAGGCCCGGCCGATGATGTTTCGACCGCCGATGGCTGCTCGCCCGCCGCTGGGGGGGATGTGTCCAGGCTCTTCATAGAGTTTTCCTTCGTGCTCTAAGATCTGAAAGTCTCCCACAGCAACTTTGAAAAGCAAATCCTTTTTTCGATTTGTTCCGGGTTACCGGTGATCGTGCCAGGCCTCGGCCCTGCCATGGGAGCATGGCCTATGCCGAGAAGGCGAGACGAAAGACATCCGTTTTTTTTCTGGTGGAGTCGGGCTTCTGATGACCTGGCAGGCCTGCTGTCGCGCATCCTGCGGAACCACACAAGGATTGGAACTCTGACGATGAGGCACCTGCAGCTGCAAGGCTCTTCTGCAGACGGCTGGCATTCAAAGGGATCTGCATCAGGAGATAGATGAGTTCGGCCGCAAAAAAAGGCCTTCGCACAATCAGTTCTGCAAGATGGCGGCGTCATCCCCACCTTCGTAGGCGGAAAGTTACCAAGCCCGCCAGCGGCCAGTCCAAGGCGGGAACCTTGGAGGGCATGCTCATGCGAACAGGCACTTCAGGAACCACGACTCTAAGACCCTAAGACCAAGTAGGTTGAAGGTATGCTCAGTGTAGTCATGTGCCGCCGATGGTGACCAGCTAGTGCTCACACGGATTTTCACGCGGATTGTTGCCTGATGACGTGCGGCTTCATGGCGGCTTCATGGCGGCTTCATGGCTCAAGCGGTCTTACCGTGACATTGAAATCTCCTCTTTCCACGCAGACTTAGCAAGAGAAGCAGGAGAAAGCGAGGCCGGACACGTTGACACATGCCTGCATGCTCGGCCTTCTTGGCCTTCGGCCAGCAGCCTGCTTCAGCTGGGGTCTCCTCTGCTTTGTTGCGCCCTGGGGAAGAGGGCGCTGGGGCTTTGCCAGCTGCTTGAGGCCCTCGAGGCCTTTTCCGCGAGTGCCTCTGCAGGGCCGAGTCAGAGCTGAAGCACATTCTGCGCATGCGAGCTCCGAGCCCGTGCCCCTGCAATCTGAGCGCATATTTTTGGTGCCTTTTGGGTCAATCGCCTCCTCCGAAGACGTGCTACCCGGCCATTCTCATTTCCATCGCTTTGATGTCTTCAGCCGATGCTGCATTGCAGCCTTGATGTGCTCACGGAAGCTCCGCCAGGACACTACATTCATTGCTGCGCTTGTCAAGCCATCGTGGACAAGCCGCGTGGGACAAGCCTTGATGCAAAGCTTGAGAGGCCAACTACCCGAAGAGTCTGGCCCGACAAAGGTTGTGAAGATCATTGGCGCCGCCATTCCCAAGCAGCGTGGTGCCTTCATCCCAACTGAAAGATGGTTGGCCAAGACGTTCACTGCTGTGCTGGACAACCCTACGGCCAACCCAAAGGTGCAGAGAAGGTGCAGAGGTTGGAGCTGTGAAGACATGGTGTCACTGCGACAGCTGTTTGCTGAGATTGGTATACCAGCAAGAGGGAAAGAGCCACATGAAGCTTTGACTGCCATGTTGACCAAAGTCTTCGCTTTCGTTCTGCACGAGGAGGCCCCTGTACACCTCCGCGATGAACTACAGCGAATTGAGCATACCATGCATACCACCGCTGAAAGGCCTCGCTTTGTGTTTATTGTCGGAGACCAGACTGGTCTGACGCGGGAGCAGGTGGAGTACCTAGTCGAAGAATTTGGTGTTACGCCGGTGACTGTAGGCACGACACCGATGCTCACCTCACACTGTATTGTCGTGCTGCACCATTTGCTGGACGAGATCTGGACTGCCGAGCTTGCCGTGGCCGGTGAGGTGGATGTTGATAAGAAGGAGTGTGATTGACTTAGATGTTTCCAGGCCGAACAAGAGCAGGCGGACCTCAACACCATCCGCAGTGCTTGATTCGGTCTTGGATGCTGTCCATGAGCCAGCACGTTCCCAATAATTGGGCTGTTGACCCAGGTCCGGTATCACAAAGCAAGGCTTCATCTTATCCTTCCGCGTTCGATGCTGCTCAAGACTCAAGACAACTTAGCTTTTCATCATCAAGGGAGAGGTCGTTCCGAGCCCTAAGTCCTGACGCGCAGGAGTCACAATCCCCGAGCTGTTTGCGCGCGCTTACGTGCCTATCGTCGCTCGCGGGCAGAACAGCCTGTGCACACTTTGAAGGGCCACATTCTTGCAGAACTTGGTACTTGGAGGAAACATAAGGTTTCAGTATGTTTCAGCCATGGAAAAAAGGCGCTTGCGGCTAACCATTGGCTTGACTGCTGGGTTCTCAATTTGTGCAGATTTCTCCTGACTCCTTATACATGGCTGATTTGAAGCAGATCAAGGCCAAACCAGGTCCTGGTTATGCGCGAGAGGGAAGTGTAAATGCTATCCGGGGGAGAGAAGAATTTACTTGGCTAGAGTGGCAGCTTTATCGCCGGCGCTGAGCTATGGCCTCGCTGCCGTCGCTCGTGGTTTTCGATCTGGATGCATGCTGCTGGTATCCAGAGATGTACATGATTCGGAGAGGCAGCCCAGACGTTGTGTGTGTTTCATCTGTTCATTGGCAGACACTGCTGCAAAGGCAAGAGCATGCAGTTTTCCACTCCACCAGCTTGGCAGGAGCACCTTTCTCAGCTACAGCAGATCCGACTGTCCTAAAGACAGCTGGCGGTCAAGCAGTACGTCTACTTGGCAATGTTGCCAACATTTGGAAGGCCTCCGGCCCTACTGTCTCATGCAATGGTATGCAAGGGTGTCAACCTATTATACTCAGCCTGCAGGAAGTGCACAGATCTCCGGCCTTCGCCAATACCCGCGTTGGTGTAGCCAGTCGATGTGATGAACCCGACTGGGGCCGTGAATGCCTTCGCAAGTTCATGGTTGAGGCTTTGGTTCTCGGGTTGTCAGATTGTTTTGCAGTCCGTATTTCTGCCCAAAGCAGGGAGTCTGAAGTCTGTCTTGGGATATGTCAGCTTTTGGTTGCAGACTGCGACCCTGCGACGATTCTATCAAAAGTACAAGTGCAAAGACTTCATGTAGACATGAGAGTCTGGCAGCGGTTCAGGATGGTGTCTCCATGTGGGACGTGGCTGAGGGCGGCCATCTCGTGGAAATCGCCTTCAGCAGCCGCTCGCCTTTCTTGTGGTTTGCTAGATTAGAAAAGCCTTGGCCAGCATGGCAGGGGTGAGATTCAAGGAAGTGCCAGGGCTCTGCTGCCCCCGGCAGGTAAGAGAGAACACTTCAAACGGCTGGCTGCAAAGACCGGCGTGGCCTTTGAGGTTACTCTGCTACTTGTTGAAGCCGCCCCAGAACATTTTACTGTGATAGGATGAAGGACAGATCAGAGTAAAGCGGGAGCCATTCAGAGGAGTGAGTCATGTGGAAAAAAGACATCACACGAAAGAAATGCAGGAGTCAGATGAGCAAGAAAGCATGAGTCAGGCGATGGCATCAGATGCAAGAAAAGAAGAAGTCAGACAAAAGAAAGGCAGCAGTCACTTGAAAGAGTATCGAGTCAGTAACCCTCTGCGCATGTTGTAAAACTGCCTCCCTTTCTGGCATTTAAAGGGAATGTAGTTACATGGGGCACAGAAAAGCCCAGGTAGAGGCAAAGGTTGCGGCCATTCAGAGGGCTGGTCTTTGCTTTTGCAAATAGACAACTGCAAGGCCACAAGGAAACGCAAGCAGAGACATAGGTTGCAACCACCTCTCCTTTCAATGTAATGAGAGGTGAGTGGAGACGCATGTTTAAACAATCTTCTTTCGCATTGTAATCAGACAAATCCGGTGACACCGGGAACTTCAAGTAGCGTCATCTGTCATTTTTTTTTTGTTCTGCTTGGGAAGGAGGCTGTGACCGTCCCCTCTACACCTTGGACGAAAGAAAGACACGTGCTGGAAATCATCATCCACCATTGTTTTTCTGTGCGCTGCTTCTGCCAAATCCTTCCCTTTGTCCGACTTATGCTCCTCTTTTGTCTCATTCAGCTGACTCATGCCGTGGTTCTTGTGACTATGCGTCTTCGCTTGCTAAGTAAATGTTCTCTTGCGCGTGTTGCCCACGCAGAAGGAAGCTTGACAGCACCTCAACCTCTTCCTTCGTCAGGACATGCTGTTTTTCGATGATGACCCTTCAAACATTCAGGACCACATATCTTCTCGTTTCGGCGGGTGCAAGTGCAATGGTCTGTATGGCTAGGATGTGTCCCGGCTGGGTGTGACCTGCATCGAGACACCAGATGGGGTGACTGCTGAAGCTTGGGAAGAAGGCTCGGTTGGGCCTGCATTGCAGCCTCCTGTGAACGCAAAGCATCATGCAACTTGCTTTCAAGCAGGCCTGAAGCAATTCTCCAAGCGCAGGGCTGATGATGCTGCGCGAAGAGCCTGATGAAATTGCCCTGAGAGGCATTTCGTCAGTGCTGCTTTGGCCCATGACTGGGAGCTTCGGAACGCGGTGTACAGTGACCAAACAAACAAGCATGGCGAATGCACGCCTACTGTCAAAAAAAAGCGTTGTTGAACATGTTGCGGGCGGATCTTGTTTCTGGCCCTACGTCTGGCATTTGTTTGTGTTAGGCTGTGGCAGACACGTCGAAGGATGCCAAAGATGGCAAGGAGAGTAAAGACAGCAAGGAGCTGCAGAACTATGTCGTGCTATCAAGTGCAGATTCGGATGACTTGGCAGTTTCTGATTTGAATCGGCTGCGAGCCACCCGTTTAGTCCTTACCCGGGAATCAGACACGACAGCTCGGTCTTTCATACTGCCTGGCACAGATCGTGAGGACAGCGCTAAAATTGGAAGCGCCAAACTGTCCGAGAAACAGCTGCTTGGCAATGCAAGCAAGGTGTACATGGCTCCACGAGAAATCCCGGAAACGTCATTTAAAGATATCATATCATCGTATCATATTATATGTGTTCTTGCTTTGAGGTTGGCAGCCTTAGAGCGCCTTCGCGAGAGGGCCTTGAAGCCGTCCTGGCCTTAGTTGTTGCTTTGAAGCCTTTGCAGCCTTGGACCTGGGGCCACGAAGGCCGAAAGATTCTGAGCCATCCCCAGCAAGCCCAGAAGGTGCACCAAGGGATGCTGCCGTTGTCCTGACATTGTTTAAGGTGTGATGCTGTGGGTCTGCAAGTTTCTAGGGAGAGCCCATGGTTGAATGTCGTGTCTTTGATGATGCCTGCTTTAACACGTCTCAAGCGTTATTTACCTATTAATTGTGCCGTCACTTCTAGAAAGCACGAACAACAGCAAAAGTAGCTTGACAGGATCTAACCTCACATTTAACATACCAAGACGTTTGAAAACGAGAAAGACGCGCCTAACAGAAAGCACTTGCGGAGACGCATCCGGCTGAGCCGCGGCACTTGCTGCACGGCTGAGTTTCGTCGCAGCCTGATTGATTGAGTCATCAAGCTATGAGTATGTTGTGACACAATGACGGTTGCTGCTGGATGAAAGCTGAGGCAGTGATGCTTCGCATTCCGTTGCTACTGGTTGCCTTACAGCATGCTCTGGGCAGCACCAGCATGCAGGTGTGGCAGCAGCTGATACCAAGACTAGTTTCAGTGCTAGAAGTCAGGACATCAGTTTCGATGACTACCTGATGCAGTTTGGCAAGGCGACTTCTTGCACTAAACTTCTGTCGTTTTTGCTGCCTTCTCTATCCTTCCGGACTCTGACTGCGGAATGTCTGGAGGTGTATGACGACTCGCAGGAGCCTTTTGGCCAGAGATATTGGTGAACGAAAGTGCAGCAGACGTGCATGGCAAAGCTTGCAAGGTACAACATGCGCAGAGCTTTGTTCGAGCAACGTAGGGCGCAGCTGGTGGCAGTGGGGCAAACGCCCAGGACATGGTCTGCTGGTCGGCACCTGAGCGCTTATGGATTGTTTTGATTGTTCTTGGAATTTCTGGTCTGCCTCCCGCTGAGGCCTCAACCAATTTACAGATGCCACCGCTAGCGAGCTCCAAAGTAGCCGAGGCTACCGAAAGGTGCCACTTTGATATGCAACAGCTTTTAGAAACGCGTGGAGAGGGAAGCCTGAGAGCAGGAGCTCCGAGGCGCAGCACAGGCACGTTCAGCTGGACCAGCTGCGGTCTATTGCAGACATGGTCATATGGTGTTTCAAGTTTTTGCTGCGTACATCCTGTGCAGCTCCACTGAGCAGGGCCATGCAGCCCGCTCTCGGACTCGCTCGTCGAGGACAGACTTTGAGCGTCCCAGTGGCCGTGCAGTCCAGCTTCACAGCTTGCTTCATCATTTCAGGTCACACGGTCATGATGCTGCTACTGGTTTCCATCTTTGTCTGTATCGTCATCCCGTTCTCTCTCTCTCTCTCTCTCTCTCCCTCCCCTCCTTACGTTTGCTGAATTTGGGTCAAGTTCGTCATGCTACCAGTAGGTTCCATCACCTTCGTTTGCCGCAAATTTCGTGTCCTGAGGGGAAAGCGGTACAAGTTGCTTCAGTGTTTTGAGGGGGTTTGGGGGGGCTGGGAGGGGCTGGGGGGGGTGATTTGGTTCTCTTGACAAGTAATCGTTCTTT